TGGATAGAGATTTGACTCCCCTGCCAATGAGTTGAGGCTTGTTTGGTCAGTGACAGGACTAGTTGCTAGTCCAGCTTGCTTTGCAAGTCTTCTGGCAGTGATGATCAGTTGAGTGGGAGACTCCTTAGGATGTTGTGGAAATCTAGATGTCGAAGTGAAAATGACGAGAAAGTTGCTAATGAAAGACATAGAAGCAGAATGGTTAGGATTTGGTGGCTGGATTTTGTGGGTTAGTAGACAGGCAAGCAAAGAGAGAGACTTGTGGTCTGACTTACTTGGGAGAATGGCAATACCATTAATTGAGATAGGGGAAAGGGAAGAAATTGTAGATTTTTGGTTGATTGTGATTTGGGGTAGAGGTATTCAGTAGTTAGAAATATGAGTCAGAAATTTGAAGGTAAGTTACAATTAGAACTTGCTCAATGATAACTTGATTTAAAAAGGACAATGAAAGTACACACTGAACGGTGGATATTGTCTTTGTCACTTAAAAAGTCAGTGGTCATGGAATTTTCATGTGCTGCTGGTGGGAGTGTAAATTAATATAACCATTTTGGAAGCCTGTTTGGCAATATCTTGTAAAGGTAAACTTAATGAACTTTATGCTTTATGACATAATAATTCTACAACTGAGTATATACCCAGCAGATGAGGTATATATGTTTGCCAAAAGACACATTCTAAAATGTTTATAGCAGCACTATTTGTGCTAGTCCCAAACTAGAAACCTCCCAGATTTCCATCAGCAGTGGAATGGATTGTGTTTATTCATACACTGGAATGATACGTAGCAATGGGATCGAATGATGTGCAGCTACTTGCAATATGGGTGAATCTCACAAATAAGTTGAATGAAATAAGGCTGACTAAGAATACACACTATGTAGTTCTATTTGTATACAGTTCAGAAGTGCAGAGTAAGAAGTAGGGGTAGTGGTCACCCTTGAGTGGGCACGTGGCAGCAGGAAGCTATCTTGTGGGGCCTCTTGAGAGCTTATGAAACATAACACTGCCAGCTGGGGTATTGGCTGCACAGATGTGTTCCGATTATGAAAACTCATGGAGCTGTTTGCTTGTATCTACTTTATGTATGTTATATTTTGGTAAAACATTTTTAAAAATTAGTGATCAAACTGAGAAAAAAATATTTGCAATTCATATTACAGGTTAAAGGCCCATTTCCCTTCTATATATATATGTATGTATTTTTTTATTTTTATTTTTTATTAAAAAAAATTTTTTTTTTGATGGCTGGTGTGGGGATCTGAACCCTTGACCTTAGTGTTAGAATGCTGCGCTCTAACCAACTGAACTAACTGGCCAGCCCTCATTTCCCTCATATATAAATAGTTCCAATAAATAGTTAGAAAAAGACAACTACCCAAAGGTTGTAAACACACGATTTATAGAAAAGGAAATGAAAATCATTGTTAAATGTACAAAAAGAGTTCATTCTTATTCCTGGAAAGAAATGCAGAGTAAATACACCCGGTGGTATTATTTTTCAGTTATTTCATTGGCAGTGATTCAAAAGTTTGGTAATAAAGCTGTGTTGGCAAGAGTGTGAGAGAAACAGGTATTCTAATCCTTTCTTGGCACAGCCTTTAGGTATGGAAATACTGTAGCGTCTAGCACAGTTACAAATGCACATACCCCGTAACTGAGCAGTTCGGTATCTTGGAATGTATTCTGCAGATATGTCTGCACAAATGGCACATGATGTACATGCAAGCTCAGTATGTGCAGCATTGTTTATAATAAAGTTGTTCTCCATGTAGATGCACAAAATAGGAGACTGATTAAATTAGGTATATTCACACAAAGAAATACCCTGTGGTCATAAAAAAAATAAATAAAGGAGTTCTTTAGGTACTGATGTGGAATGATCACCAAAATGAATTATGTAAAATCCAATAGAAAAGCATGTAAAGTATTCTAACATTTGCATAAAAAACAAAGATGAGAGGGGGATCACACACACATACACACACACACACACACTTTTGAAAATACATACAATGGAAATATAAAGTAAGAAACTGATTACAGGACTCTCTAGCCAGTTGAACTCAAAAGTCAAAGATTCAGATAGTGAGGGATTTCAGGGATACTGTATCGGTTGCTTCTGGGGGTGTGGGGGATTGGGGCGACTTTTCAGTGTATAACATTTTAAATCTTTTGGTTAACTTTGAAAAACTCTTTATTGAAGTATAATATACATAAATATACCTTTTGAACTTTGAACTATTCGATGTATTACTGTTAAGGAAAAAATGAGGTAGAAGTATATAATGGAGAAATTTAGTGAAATCATTCTTGTGCTTAGGGAACAAACAATAGCCAGGTTGGAAAGATGACTAGCATGGGTGGTGAGGACATGGGGACAGTGTGATGGAAAACTGTTAATATGTCTGGTGGAGGGAGAGAGGATGGGGGCTAGAAAGGATGAACTAGGTTGAGGGAAATAGAGCTGGGGGGGCATGAATGAAATGGGAGGCTTTTTATAATAAGGGAGAAGAGGAAGGTTGGACCAAGGCATAATTTTATATTGTCCAAGTCATTTTAAATGAAAATTTACCTACTTACAAACTTTACTCAGAAAATTTTCTTGAGATTTGAACCCCTTTTCTCCCATGTCTGCCTCTCCCATCTCTGGTAGCTCCTTATATCTGAGGTACGACATTACTTCTGCTTATGGCCTAAGATTTAAACATGGGAAGGAACATAAGGGCTGCTGTAAAATTAGACCACTGAAGCATTCAGGTGACAAATGAGAGGCCTGATTTATGTTTGGCAAAAAATTGGGCATAAGATTCTTATAAAAAATGAAATTCTGCTTTTTCATCCTCTTTAATTTCTGATGAGCAGACAAGGTAATACTATATTATTGGAGTTGTTTCTTTAACTGAAGAGTCCTTTAATATTTAGAGAGAAAGTACTTAGGAATATACTAAATAGTATCTTGAGCTATAGGTAGACTATGTGATATTTAACTCATTGAAATAAATTAAATTTTTACTGCATTACTTTCTTATGGGTTGAGTTTCCTGCTTCCCGTCTCTTGACTGTTAGATTTGGTTGGTTGGTACTTTTAGGGTAGTGGTTTTTAACTTACTTTGAGTCATAGATCCCATGGAGAATCTTCATAGAAACACATTTATGTGTGGGGATTGGGGCGACTTTTCAGTGTATAACATTTTAAATCTTTTGGTTAACTTTGAAAAACTCTTTATTGAAGTTTAATATACATAAATATACCTTTTGAACTTTAAACTATTCGATGTATTACTGTTAAGGAAAAAATGAGGTAGAAGTATATAATGGAGAAATTTAGTGAAATCATTCTTGTGCTTAGGGAACAAACAATAGCCAGGTTGGAAAGATGACCAGCATGGGTGGTGAGGACATGGGGACAGTGTGATGGAAAACTGTTAATATGTCTGGGGGAGGGAGAGAGGATGGGGGCTAGAAAGGATGAACTAGGTTGAGGGAAATAGAGCTGGGGGGGCATGAATGAAATGGGAGGCTTTTTATAATAAGGGAGAAGAGGAAGGTTGGACCAAGGCATAATTTTATATTGTCCAAGTCATTTTAAATGAAAATTTACCTACTTACAAACTTTACTCAGAAAATTTTCTTGAGATTTGAACCCCTTTTCTCCCATGTCTGCCTCTCCCATCTCTGGTAGCTCCTTATATCTGAGGTACGACATTACTTCTGCTTATGGCCTAAGATTTAAACATGGGAAGGAACATAAGGGCTGCTGTAAAATTAGACCACTGAAGCATTCAGGTGACAAATGAGAGGCCTGATTTATGTTTGGCAAAAAATTGGGCATAAGATTCTTATAAAAAATGAAATTCTGCTTTTTCATCCTCTTTAATTTCTGATGAGCAGACAAGGTAATACTATATTATTGGAGTTGTTTCTTTAACTGAAGAGTCCTTTAATATTTAGAGAGAAAGTACTTAGGAATATACTAAATAGTATCTTGAGCTATAGGTAGACTGTGATATTTAACTCATTGAAATAAATTAAATTTTTACTGCATTACTTTCTTATGGGTTGAGTTTCCTGCTTCCTGTCTCTTGACTGTTAGATTTGGTTGGTTGGTACTTTTAGGGTAGTGGTTTTTAACTTACTTTGAGTCATAGATCCCATGGAGAATCTTCATAGAAACACATTTATGTGGTATATACTGTTTCGCTTGTGATTTGGGGGCTTCATGGTTCTCCTGGTACTCATTCATAGGTCCTGTGCTCTAGGTTAAGGATGTGTTTGTATGAGAAATGACCGCTTCACGTAGTAAAGAACTAGCACTGCTCTGACAAGTAAGAGTCCTGAGCTGTCTCTGGAGCTCTGCTTTTCATGACTGGAAATATTACCCTGTGTCCATTCTCATTTTGTCTGTCAGATTGTTAATGTGAGATTGTCTGGGTTTCCAGAAGCGCAAATTGTATCTGGCTAGTCTCTGATTGACAAAGCAGAGTGGGTAACATCTCTTTTGTTTTGGCTGAGTGGACTGTCCCTTCTGAGTTGTCATTTACTCTTCCCCTTTCTGTCAACCCTACTGCATGAGGCAGAGGCCTAGCGTGGACCACAGACAGGCAGTCTGGAATCTAACCTGCAGACTTTTCTGGTTTAGCCAACATGTTTACCATTCTTCATAATTCTAATGCCTTCTGCATGGTCACATGCTTCCTAGTTTGCCACGACCCCGCTACTGTCCCACTACTGCCCCACCACTGCCGTTGTGTTACATCTACCTTCTCTGTTCATTTACCCCCAGCCTCTGAGGCCTTTTAGTTTGTGACCTTTGGTTTTTAGTTTGTGGCCCAGAGATTGAGAGTGTGCCAGTAGGCTGACTTTCATGTCCCAGGGGAGCTGAGGTGCTCAGTAGGAACGTTAAGGGCAGACATTAGGTGATTACCTGTCCCTTTCTGCTGAGACTGGAGTTTCCTGGGGTGTGGGACATTTCTGGGCAAACAGGTACTTAGGCACTCTGGCAGACATCTTCGTGACAAGCTTATAGAGAGGCTTGTAAGTCTGATGCTTCCAGATGAAATCCGCAAGTATTCATGGATGAGTACCTAAACTCAGATGTGCCAAACTCTTCAAAGCTAAACTTAGTTGGAATTAATCAAAAATAAAAAGATCACCTTATAAAGCCCCTTTAGTAAATTAGGGCAAGTTAGTAAACAATGAAATCAATCACAGTAGGGTGTTCATTAGCAAAAGTTTCACAACCACAGACTTAAGTTCTTAATACAGATGCATCAGTCATGTGAATGGAAATAATGTGAGATTGTCTGGGTTTCCAGAAGGGCGCAAATTGTATCTGGCTAGTCTCTGATTGACAAAGCAGAGTGGGTAACATCTCTTTTGTTTTGGCTGAGTGGACTGTCCCTTCTGAGTTGTCATTTACTCTTCCCCTTTCTGTCAACCCTACTGCATGAGGCAGAGGCCTAGCGTGGACCACAGACAGGCAGTCTGGAATCTAACCTGCAGACTTTTCTGGTTTAGCCAACATGTTTACCATTCTTCATAATTCTAATGCCTTCTGCATGGTCACATGCTTCCTAGTTTGCCACGACCCCGCTACTGTCCCACTACTGCCCCACCACTGCCGTTGTGTTACATCTACCTTCTCTGTTCATTTACCCCCAGCCTCTGAGGCCTTTTAGTTTGTGACCTTTGGTTTTTAGTTTGTGGCCCAGAGATTGAGAGTGTGCCAGTAGGCTGACTTTCATGTCCCAGGGGAGCTGAGGTGCTCAGTAGGAACGTTAAGGGCAGACATTAGGTGATTACCTGTCCCTTTCTGCTGAGACTGGAGTTTCCTGGGGTGTGGGACATTTCTGGGCAAACAGGTACTTAGGCACTCTGGCAGACATCTTCCTGACAAGCTTATAGAGAGGCTTGTAAGTCTGATGCTTCCAGATGAAATCCGCAAGTATTCATGGATGAGTACCTAAACTCAGATGTGCCAAACTCTTCAAAGCTAAACTTAGTTGGAATTAATCAAAAATAAAAAGATCACCTTATAAAGCCCCTTTAGTAAATTAGGGCAAGTTAGTAAACAATGAAATCAATCACAGTAGGGTGTTCATTAGCAAAAGTTTCACAACCACAGACTTAAGTTCTTAATACAGATGCATCAGTCATGTGAATGGAAACTTTCACATACTTTAAAAATTATTTCCTTAGTATTTCATTTTCCTAACTAGCTAAGTTGTATTTGTGTGCTAGTGTTTTATTAGGCATTAATGTAATGTAATTATATAAACTGTTTCTTTTATTAAGCTGAAGCATTGGATTTGATTGCGCAAGATGAAGAAGAATTTAATAAAGAGCATCAATTTATACAGGTTTGTAATTATTTGCTTTAAGCAAAGTTTGAGTTTTTTCTTATATTAATTTAAGTGTAGGCAAAATGTTCATTTCTTTCTGAATAGATATGTAGTTAGTATAGAATTATTTTTTTCATGTTTAGATAACTTCTGCTTTTTCCTTTATACTCAAAATTATTAATTGAATACTGGCATACTGAAATATATCTTTAATTCACGTAAAATTGCTTTAATAGCCTTCATGAATATTTCCATAGTTTTTAAAACATGATTTAAAATGAGGTAATCCTGTTTGTTTGTAGTGAAGATGTATCCCTTTATAGAGATTCTTATTTGTAACAATCAGTGTTTGATTAAGTGACATATTAACACAATAATCCATATTATAACTCACGTATTCAAAAATTAGTTTCTCTTCTTCTGGACTTCATTAGCTTTAGTAGCTACTCATGCTTGAATTTGTCCAAATTTTTTTGTCTAACTTTAAAAATTAATTTTCAAGTTTTCTTAGTTAATTTTTTTTTTAGTTTCACATTATTAGAAGAACAGAAAGAAGGCTTGCTGGGGAAAAAATGAAACAGTAACTTTCTTCTTAGGAAGAAAACACAGATGCTCAGGACACTTCAGTTGTACTTGGGAATACCTCCTGGGGAGCTACGGCTAATTACAGTCTGTTGAGGAAATCACTTAGCACATCAGATTTGGACAAAGATGATGCCAGTTATTTACGTCTATCTTTAGGAGAGTTCTTTGCTCAAAGATCTGAAGCTCTTGGTTGCCTTGGTGGTGGTAACGATATGAAAAGAGTAAGTATGACGATATGAAAAGAGTAAGTATGAAATATGCTAGTAGTGGTTAAAGTCACCAGATTTTATATTTTGAATGTTAGAATGTTAAGCTAGAGCATAGTAACTTTAAAGTGGAGATGGGATTGGGGCATGATAGAATACTGGTAAAAAGCTTAGGTTTTATAGTCAATCAGACCCTGGCTCCAGTCCTAGTTCTTCCTTTTAACTGGTTCTATGACATTGGACAATTTATTTAGCTCCTGTATGCCTTAATTTTATAGGTTTTTGTAAGATTTAAATACAATTGGTACAGCTAAAGCATTTAGCATCAAGCCCAAAATATATTAAGTATTCAATACCTGTTAGTTGCCACTGTTTTATTGTAGTTGATGGGAAGAATTCTAAGAATCATTTTTTTTAACCTACTGGCTAAAAATATATTTTGAAATATAGGTGTGTTTGATTTAATGAAATGTAATGCATGTAAAAATAAAAATATGCAGACAATTCACGTAGTTTGAGTGCAGCAAAGAATGAGTAAGGAGAAGGAGCTGTTTTAGCTGTGCTGGTTAGGGTGACATCTGAGGGGATGACAGTGAACTGGTATCTAAATGATGAAAAGGAGGCAGCTGCCCAAAGACCTTGAGAAGAAGTCTCTCCAGCAAAGGGAGGCTGTCTGTGTGAAGGCCCAGAGGTAGGAACTAGAGTGGCATATTGGAGGAACAGAAAGCAGGCAGACAGCGCCAATGTCAGGGTAGGTGGAATGGGAGAAAGGTGGAAGGTTACAAGGGCCACATTGTGAGGGCTCCCTGTAGGAGTTGGGTTTTACCTCACATGAACTGGGAAGAAATGCTTGGAGGCTGGGAGCAACTTCATCTTGGTGCCTGGGCCTGTCTTCAGGTCCAACAGGATGCCACCATGTGTGTCAGCGCCTGGATGGAGAAAGCGAGTGAAGCACAGAGGCGGAAAAGTCATAGGCAGAGGCTTAGTAAGCAGGAGCAAGGAGATGAGGGCCAGGACTAGGATGATGTGTGCATACGGGCATTTCATATGAAAATGTGAAAATAGAAACAAGTGCAAGGATTCAAGATTTATTCTGGAGACAGAGTCCAAGGACTTGATAAATTCCACGTAGGGAGTTAGGGTTATTGGAAGGAGTGTTTATTCAAACTGGATTTCGCTAAGAATATACTTTCACTAAGAATATAATTTCGATATAATAGATATAGTGTTAGAAATCACAGTTGGTTCATAGAACTAAAATCTGAAACTGAACTGTGGTCCCATCCATCTGTGCAGTGGATTAAAAAATGAAATAATGAAAATAAAGAGAGCTGGATTTTTCAGATTGTGAGAGAAGCTGAAGAGTAACCGAATTTCTCATTAAACAGATGAACAAAATACTGGATCATGGAAAAATGGACCTATTATCCAGAATTTTTATTTCGGCATTAGTTATGAAATTTTACTTGTATTCAAGTCCCTGGATCAAGGGAAGAAATTCCCAAGTGAAGATCAATCAAAAATTGAGTGCATTTAACAAATCCACATTTTAGGTCTATTATGAAAGGTGTGGAATTTCCTCTTTTAGTATGCTCCTTGAATGTAAACCTTTCTGAAACTTTCATGCGAGGCAGTGGGAGTATTCTAATCTCAATACAGATTTTCGAGGATGTATCTATTGTATAAAATAAAATGCTATTATAT